TTCATAGTAACAGTTTGTCTTACCTAAATGTAACTCAGAAGAGAGAAAAACAAAAAAGACCGAACATATTCAGATGCGAGTGAGTGTTGGTTCCGCCGCTCTGATCACAGGGCTACGGCTTCGTCGTCACCGTTCGAGTGCCGATCCTAGAAGAGAAAGGTTAAGGCGCGTGGAGGGTGCCTAGGAAATGCTGTGCTGCGTTGTCAAATAGAAGTCGAGAATGAATGGTGATGGTAAGAAGTCTGTGGTGTGAAAATCAGACTCTCACAGAGCGACGACGCAAAGATGCAGAACACGCGTCGGCACATTTAATTACTCCGCTGGAAAACCGGTAATCCTCCACACAATTACCCATACACGGAACCTTCCCACGGCCATGCATAATGTCCTCCCGACTGGTTTGACTACTTCGCTTTATTTAGCCATATTTTTCGACAAGGAAAGACATAGAAACTGGTCCCGTCTTCAAGCACCAGCCAGATTGAAAATGTGCAACTCTCAATACGCGATCGGCGAACCAAACTGCGGCCGATTCCGGCTGTAAATAAGGCTTTGCTAGGAAAACCCACGACTCCCCTTTGACGCTGGAACGATATATATTCTCTGGATAAAGTCATCCCTTGCTGAAAACCAGTTTAATTTTTACAACTAGCTTACCTGGCACACCTGGGGCCTCTTATCCAGTTGTCAGTCTAAGGAAGCTCTTGTGCACTCGGCGGGCATCCTATTCGGTATTTGTTAAGCGTGGTCTTGGATACGCGCCACAGGCGCTCCTTGGCTTCATTCTTTTACACTTCTTTATGCCTGAATGACCACATACCCTCTATAAGTAATGGTGTAGTGGCGTATTGTTGGTTGTTCGGACTCCTATTCCGGCCATTGCACTGGATTCGCAGTTTTACTTAATGATTCACTCACTTCCTAATCCCCTGAAAGTAGTGACAATGCCTTTTTTACAATCGCACAAGACGCTCCTGACAGCTACACATACGTAGCACTAAATTTGAGGATTAGTGGATGCTTGTATCGACAGCCTACAGTAGTGTAGTAGAAATGTGCCCCTTAAACAGACCACGCGGCAGATGTGCTGAACCAACACTGGAGCTAGATCGGAGTCCGGCAGGCATTATTGGGAATGCGCACACAACAAATTGGAGTGTGGTGCCAGGCCCACGCCGCACAAACTGGGACCGGAGCAGCCTCCATTGCTAATGTCCAGGTGTGGCGGTGCGCCCGGGCGCAGGTCCTTGCCGCGCCAGCCACCGACGCCCTCTCCCATCTCCAGCCTTCTTGACTATGTCCTGACGCCGAGCCAAGTGGGGAGGAGAGGGTGCAATAGGTGCGTCGAAAGTCCACTGTTGCCGAAAGAAATCACACGCAAGTTGCCGCCCCTGCCCTCACCCAGCTGTGGAGCACACGGTGGACATCGTCGGTCATGACGGTCAAACTGTCGTGTAGGTGACTGTGCTTAAGACTCGTGCAAGGCCGCATGTCTCCCGGCAGGTGATGTTTGTCGCATCGTGCTGCGGTGAAAATTACTCTTACGGGTAAGTGCGAACATAGTTTTCAAGTTGCTTA